AAATTTTCTATAGCATGAAAAATGGTATTTAAAAAGTCACAGGAATTGACATTAATCATAGATGAAACCATCTTCCTTTTCTTTTCTTTGATAATTTCTTCTTCAGTGCTAGTGAAATCATTCCTTGACCATTCTTCTGGTGGTAAATGAAGCCTCTTCATTTACCACTAGAAGGAGGTCTATAAGGAAGGTCTATAAGGAAGGTCTATAAGAAGAAGTCTATAAGAGGTCTATAAGAAGGATATTTATAAAGGAGGTCTCTCCTACCATTATGATTCCACTGAATGGGGAGTACAGAAGCTTCTGTTAGACAAACTGGCTGGGTTTAATATCCTTGGAACACATCTCCAAAATTCATTAGAAGTTACCTAATTTTTTGTACTCGTTTCTTTATGAACACATACATCCCAAACTTCGTCACATCGTATCCATGCTGATACGGTAGATGAAAGAAATAAACTTTATGACGTATGAAATCTTTCAAAATATTTGCAGCACGATATGCGGAAATTGTAACTTCAAGTAGTTCTAACCTTTATATTGTAATTTCTTGCTTTCCACAGAAGCCACACTCACTTTAGCTTTTAAGAAGTAAATATGAAAAAACTATTTAGTTTCAACGTGAACAAAAGTTCAGTTGAATATGTAATTTTACTTGCACCACAGAAAAAATGTAGATATAGCCTCTACTTGAATGTCTGCGTGTATTTATCTCAGTGTTTTCAATTTTTGCAAGTGATTTAAGCTATTTAACCACTTACACAATTCAGACTCAGTTTCTGCATGAACTGCTTGATCCCAAAATAATTTCCCTCTCCACAAGCACTGCAGTAAAAGCTTAGGGAGTAAAGTAACCAGAGAAGACATTCCTAGCAGATCAAATAGCTTATGAACAAATCCTAAAATTGTCCCTCTAGTTATTTTCGCAAGCAAGTCTTCAATAATAGTGAAAATATTTATGCAAAGCATATCACTTTTACATTCCTAATACATTCTTTAGCGTATTGCTTGGGTTAAGAAAGCCATCTAAAGGATCGGTATATTCCCAAAAAAGGAGATCAAATTTTCTCTCACTTAACACATACATAGCAACTTATACAAATTGACTAAGTTCCTCATTGCTACTGATGTTAGTTAAACAGCAGTCCACATAAAAACTTTCTCAGATGTTTTACAATTTTCAATGGATATTTATAAAATAATATAAAATAATTATACTGTAATTTCCTTCTCTCATTCTATTCAAAGTAGTTTACAACTGGTAATGAATCACGTAATTAAGCAAAAATAGGCTACATGAAATACCAAAAAAGAGACTACAGTGTCAGAAGTACTTTAATAATCCATCAGATTTGCATCGCAAAAATCGCAAATAATCTCCATCTCTAGGATTGATGCTTATTTGTAAAAAAGGCCTTACGCATATCAGACATAGCTTCAATTGGCCTCATGCGAAATTTATTAAGAATTGAAAGAATTCATTCAATGAGATTCATTCCTTTCTCAACACAATCATCAAGACTAGGTGCGTCTTTCTGCTTTGCTGAAGCATCGAAAACAGGTCTAATTTTTGTGGTAGCATTTTCTTTCACAACTTTTTTATGAAGCAAATAATAGCAAATTCAATTTCATTATCTTAGATCTTTTCTATTGTTCCATTTTGCTGTCACTCTTAGTATTTCCACAGAAGCTTCACATAGTACATTTTTTTATTTTGGTCATTTGTATTATTTAATCTTTTAGCAGCTAAATCAAAATTATCTTGAAAGTGCATATTTTTTTGAGCCATGGTGAAAGCGACCATCTTTCACTCTAACAGTGTTTCAGAAATGTTCTCTTGCAACTTTATGAAACTCTAATTGATTTTCCCTTTCTTTTCGAAAGGCTTCAAAATCCCCTTCAAACCAAGAGACCGTAAGTTAGGATATTAACGCTTCCTTACTCAACTTTAAATGCTACATATAATGTGGAGTTATTTAAGATCTCTGAAATGTTATTTTTACTCAAGTTAATTTCATTTCTATGGCTACATGTCCCAAAGCTAGAAGTTGGAAACCTCTTGTCATTAACTTACCCACTTTATGAGCTTCCATTAAGATTTCATTTGAACCAGAATTTTGATCATTAAGACTAATACCACTTTTCGACTAATTCATTCATCCATCCCCTAGTAACAATTGAAAGCACAGTACTTTTATGCTGCAGAAGAGGACTGTTGACCCTAGGGGTAAAACATTTTCATCACAGCATTATTGTCCTCCTTGCAGAAGCAATCTAATGCTGCTGCTCCCCCCTCTGCAGGAAAGCCAGCAGAACAGACTGCTACAAACACATGAAGAATAAGAAGTTCACAAGGCTATTTACAGCAATGCGTAAGTCTTCGCAGGCTACACAGTCTTGTCCTAATCACCGACTAAGCGATATCACTGATGGTCCTGTGTTCAGATAGAGATTAAATTTAGGACTTAACAAGCACAGTCACAATATTACAATCTAAGATACAAGAGACTGCATTACAGATATATGACTTAACATTTAGAATACTTATCACATATTATACCACTTTCAGACTAACTTCACAGAATGCTATTGAACAATGCATTGAAGGTGCTATTAAATTACTTGCTCTGTTGAATGAAGCAATTATGATATCAGAATTGAACAAGGTAATAAACATAATACATTTGAAGCAAAGATTGAATTTCATTGTTACAATAAGCAGCAACGAAACAAGGATTATACATAGATGCAGTGTGTATATAAGTGCAGTTACAATTGAAAACACACACAAAAAAAGCATGTATGCAGGTACTATTAAAGGAGGTGTTTATACTACTAATGAAACTTTGTGTAATGAGGCCTACTGTTGTGCTTCTGCTTTGCAGAGTGTCACATTACATAGTATTACAAATCATAGAGACTTATGATGTTCTGAGAAAAAGGTGGGCATTAGGTATTGGTTAATTTCTGATCGAGCAAGGTGCCAAGTGCTAGGTTGCCCTATTGTGCCCACTTACAGCTGAGTTCTTTGTTGTACAGTACATAATAAGTTTTCTCAGCTTTATTCTGGTGTTGTTCTTAATCAAATTTTAAACCCACTGGGACCGAAATTGCTGGCTTGGTTCTTTTGATGAAGATGAGCAGTGTCGGAGCAAGAGAAGAGATAGTGATCTGGGTCACCCACTTCTCCACAGCCACAGGTATCTGATTCACTTAGGTGGAAGAGATGTAGATAAGATTCAAAAGGGCCATGGCCTGTAAAGTAGTGTGTTAATTCACCAATATTGGCTGAGTGCTTCCCCCCACTTTTGGAAAAAATTCATATGTTCATCTAAGGCATAGTACTGCAAATAACATCTTGACCAACAGCTTTGAAATGCCAAAGATAGCTTCCATCAGTTTTGGATATAAATACAATAAAAATGTTATGTTCTGTTATATAGTACGTAGAAGCTCTACTAAAGAACGAAAGGCAGAGTTTTTCTTTCTTACCACTATCAAAATGCATATCTGCTTAAGTGCTCTGTAAAATGTATGATCTTTAAGAAACATAATATGTTATAGCTTTGTGTGACGTTTACAACCATAATCCTTTACAGTAACCATTTATGTCTGAAATAGAACATCTGAGAACTGAAAATTTAGCCAATATTTAACTTTTATAATGAATCTGATTACTCTCTTTGTTTGCAATAGTGGACATACTTTGATGTTTATCATCAGTGTGGATATTTCTACACTAGATTTCATGATGTTTTTTTCCTACAAACAATACATAAGGCTTTTTTCCTATCATACAGCTGTCCTACAATCTAAGCAAAGGAAACAACTCTGATTATTGTGTACAATACTGTGTCAGTCTACTACTGCCATTTTTCGAGATTTATAAAGCAGTCACACGATTTATGAAAACCTGAACACAATATATGATTCGCTTTTGTAGTCAAAATCAAAGATGGAATTGGTGAAGATTTATTATGACTTTAAAATCAGAACCTTTTTAACTACAACAGTTGATAACAAAACATTTACTGACTGCAAACACTCATTCTTCTCCCCTCATTTCATCAAACAGAAATAAAAGTAAACCACCTCATCCATTCAATTAGGAGGAATCTCTGCCATTTACATTCCCATCTCCCTGATCTGTTTCAAATTCTTTGCACTCCTAATTAACAGCTCTAAATTTTTGCTACACAGGAAAAGTTTATCAGTTAATGATGATTCCATTAGTGGATACAATATTATAACATATTTATTTCTCATTTGCAGTTGAAATTTTGCAGTTCAAAATTGTTTTGTACTTAAAAATTGCTTTTGTAGTTGCAATGCCTTCTAAAGTACAAAGTTCTGATTCTAAATTATCCTATAATTTCCTCAAACTTATTTCAATTTTTTTTAAGACTAAATAAAGTAAATCTCTAACATACACTTTCTTTCAGATCTTCTTTTAGAGTGCTGCTCTATTGCTTACTGCTCTACTGACTGCAGTAAATACACTAATTCATCATGATTACCAAAGACTATTATTACCTCTGTCAAAATTCTAAAATTCCAATAAGCACCGAGTATTTATTTAAAAGTTTGAAAACTGACATTACTCTTAAAAGTTTCACATGCCAGTGATGTCATAAAACTAATTTTGATATAATGCAATATTAAGCAGTACTTATGAACATCATTAATATTATTACAAATTCATAACAGCTAAACCACATATTTGAACATAAAAGTAAATTAAATGGTATTACATTAAACACAGATGATGCAAATTCTGATGAACATTATTATTTACCAGCACTGAAATACTAATTCAGAAGTCAAACAACAAAAGCACTGAAATGTTTAAAGCACTAAATTGAAACACTGATGATTTCAATGAAAATGAACAGAATAAATTGCACTGGAAATCTATAAAATTTCTGTCACTAAAACTGTTTTAAACACACATAAAAATACAGAAATAACTGTGAAACAAATATTATAACATTTTCACGAACCTGATTTCCTGCAGTATGATTCAGCAAAATTCAAGCACTGAACAGTTTCTGAGTTTATATTTTCCAAACTGGACATACTGGAACTACGTGATCGTGAGAAAGAATTATCAATTTTATCTGAAATGAGAAAAAAATATACCAATAACTGAAATAAAAAATATATGCAAAGAAGAAAACTTTTTTTTTACTACCTTGAGATTTTGTCCGTCTCATTTCAGCAGATGGTGGCTTTCTTTGCAATAAATGTTTACGAGTTGTTGGACTGAGGCACATCCCATTCACCTAAAAAACGTATTCAATAGACATCAGTGGTGTCTTAAATCCAATTCAGTAAAAAAAATTAACATTTACCCCCCTACCGTAAAAAAATCAGTTTGAAATAAAGCAAGGCTTACTTGATCTGCAGTGGGTGAACGACACTTATCTTGATCAATAGGATTTTCACCTAACATAACATTGGCTCGCTTTGGAGACCTTGGAACTTTCTGATAAAGGTCAGAGGAACCTAAAAATACCTTAAAGTTTTAAAATTTTCACACATATTAAAATTAATTAATTACAATAAAAAGCCGACTTATAAGGCATTCATTTAAGCAGAATATTTGCGAGCTCTCTCCCTCAAAAAATTTAGTAAGTGAGAGATTTTTAATCCCATTATAGAACTCGTAATATTATTACCGCATATACAGTGTATTTCAGCAAATTGGTTACAAACTTTCAGGAGAGATAGAGTACATCTAGACCAGTGTTTCCCAAACATATGACATACGTGTACAGCTTCTTTGAGTACCCCTCGGCAAAAAAATGGATGTATTTTAATAACAACAGAAATATATTAAACCCTCCTATGCTTCTAATACCCTAACAGTAGAAGAAAAAACTACTGCCGAAACATTTCTGTGGAAAAGGTTAGAGCAAAGTAAGCATTTTCAAGACAAAGGAGCCCATGCATGGACTCTTGGTAGTGAGAGACGACGAGGAGTTCTCAGAGTTAAAACTAAAATTAGTGAGCGCGATGATAAATTGTTCTTACTTTATCCCCTCTTGCTTCTGTCGACATTATTTGACTGAATGCCTCATAAGAGAGCATCATGAAAAGAACTGTCATACTGGAGTGCAGATATTAGCAGATAAATTAAGACAATGATACTGGATCATTTCGTCCAAACATAATATAAGATCTTATGCAAGCCAATATGTCGTATGTAAAAGATTTACCGCTAAGGTTTATCCAACCCTCCGATACAGTTACCCCGTGAAAGAGTAAGAGATTCAGCAGTCCTTGAAACAACTGGAGTCGATCTTCGTTGCTCTTTACTTCTGACACCAAAGGGTACGGCTTGGATCATTTTGTTCACCTGCGCTGTGTACCAGGCAGTTCACCTGGAGACTATCACCTCTCCAGGTGAACTGCCCTGGTGTTCCTGGAACATTAAGTTCTAGGTGTTCTAGTGAACATTAAGTTCTACATGCTCTGAGACGGTTCATTGCCAGACGAGGCCGTCCTCTGACAGTGTATTCTGATAACAAAACCAATTTCACGGTAACAGAGAATGCTCTGAGATGTCTGGATTCGAGAAAAATCACAGAAAATGACTGTTTTCGAATAAAGTGGAAATTCATCCCCCTACAGCTGCATGGTCGGAAGGGATGGTGGAAGCGCAGTTCGTTCCAACAAGACCCTTCTAGTGCGAATTTTAGGGAGATAGTCGGTGAATTTTGAGGAGTTACTAAAGGTTCTGTGTGACACTGAATCTAGATTAAACAACCGTCCTTTAACGTACATCTGTGATGATTCAAAAAAATTCGTACCTCTGACACCTTCCCTGTTTTTGCAAGACATAAAACAAGTGAGGGTACCATATCTAGATTATATCGATTCCCAGAAATTCAATGTACGGGCAAATTACTGCAATACATTGAGACAAGAACTGAAAAGTCGCTTCTGCAAGGAATATCTGGCCAAGCTGGTGCAGAAGGCCAGTGTTTCATGTCAAAAACTAAAGGTGGGGAATGTAGTCCTCATATAACTAGACAATAAAAAACAAGTAATATGGCTAATGGGCAAAACTTTAAAAATTTTCAACAGTAGAGATGGGGCTTCAAGAGTGGTACAGGTAAAAACAAGCATTGGATATTTGATAAGACCAATTAAAAGACTGTATCCACTAGAGATTTCAGCTGTGCTAACACCCTGGCAACTGAAAACAGATCTAAATACGGCAGACTCCTAAAACCAAGTATAAACCCTTATATATAATGTACAATATAGAATTTTTGGACTTAAATCCTTTTGGTTAGCAATGACTGCACTTGTTTTAGATTTATTCTTTATATATCTCATTTTAGCATGCTCCATCATATATATTATATGTTAACCAAATTTTTGTTTTATGTTTTTCTAATACAATGCATTAGTATTGGTTTCAGGTCTTATTCATAATGTTAGAACATTTTGTGTAATGTCTGATTTTGAAAAAATCAGGGTGGGAGGATGTTGTGGCTCTCATATTTCATGAGAATAAGTCTGGAAACAACTGTAGTAGAAAACACTGTGTATCGATTGAATGGCAACAGCGCATGAGCTTCCATACCTTTTATTTTTAATGCAGCCAATTCATTTTGTGATTCTATTGCATTAAGAAATTGAGTTCTAGATTGGATGAAATGAAATCTACTGCATATATTAGGGATATTTCTCAATTTGCTGCGTTTTAGAAACTGAGAGTTCCTATATTTAAGTTTGCAGTATTTAAATAACAGAAGTTTTCTCAAATTCAGAAAAAATGAACTTATTCTCGATGTACAGACAAGTGAAATTTTATGTTATTGTGGTTACATATAATTTGCAAATTAAACTATGAATAGAATTCTATTAAACGCTCTCAAAAATCCGGAATGGGATTTAAACTTGTAGATGTTGAGTATACATTCTATGTCAGAGCCTGTTGCAGTCAGGTGTGAAAAATAAGAATTTTTGTTCATGATATAAGAACATGAATCACAGCGCATTGGTAATATTTTGATATAGAAAAGAATTGGACAGATCATCAAGCATTCTTTTCACTCTAATTTGGAGTATTGTTCTATGCAGTGCTGGCGCTAGGCCTTTTTGCCACCCAGCCCTGCTGCACTTGATGCACATGCCCTGGTGACAGCTCTCGTTCTATGACCTATTAAGCTGTAAACAGACATGTATGCAGCATTGGCTTTATTGAGAGCTTATAACATCTGCTCTTTGAAATTAAATTGCTCATCTGACATGATTCCGAGATATCCAGCCATTCAGTTCACCTCCAAAATTGAATCTAACAATTCCTTTCCTTTCATTCATATTCTGATAATCCGTAACGAATTTAATTTCGGCATTCCTGTTTACCGTAACTCTTTTTGTGTTTGTTTGCCTTCCCATGCTAAATCATGTTACCCGCTTAAGTTAAAAACTGCTCCTTTTTACTCTTACGCATAATGTGCTCTCACATTTTACTCACAGAATCTTTGTTTAATCAACTCACTTATTTGAAATCAGTTGCCACTGACTGAAGATTTTCTCTTACGTTCCTTGATTTTATACTCCATGCCTTTTAAAAAATTTACTCTTGCCATCAAAAGAGATATTTTATGGTCAGAAAAAAAAATAATATTGTTGCCTTCCCATGCTAAATCATGTTACCCGCTTAAGTTAAAAACTGCTCCTTTTTACTCTTACGCATAATGTGCTCTCACATTTTACTCACAGAATCTTTGTTTAATCAACTCAATTTGAAATCAGTTGCCACTGACTGAAGATTTTCTCTTACGTTCCTTGATTTTATACTCCATGCCTTTTAAAAAATTTACTCTTGCCATCAAAAGAGATATTTTATGGTCAGAAAAAAAAATAATATTGTTGTCATTTTATTTCTTCCTTCTATCAGATGCAATATTGTATGGATTCTCAGGAGTTCAACATTTAAGTCATTCTCTCACCTATCTACAACATCTATTTTTTTTTTTTTCTATTCTTAAATAGTCCACCTCTGCCTTTAATTTTTAGAGAATTCATAGCATATCTTGTCAGTGTGGTCTGAGATATATTCGCAAAACTAAAACAGTCTTAAAATTTTGTATAAAGGAACATGAAACTTTTCCAAAAAGAAGAAATAAACAAATTTTTGATAGATGATCATAACTGGAAATTTACTCACAATTTTGACTTTGGGGCAGTGAAAATCATCCATAAAGCTTTTTCAGTTAGTGAAATGAATTTCCTTGAGCTTATAACATTCACAAAAATTTATCTTGTTTAGTTAATGGCATTAATTTCAAGCTGGTTCTTCCTAATGCTTTTAAAAATCTAATATCTTAATTTTCCATGTTTTTTTACTGCAGTGGTATCTCCGTATACGTAAACTTTGAAATATGTCCAGTTTAGATACGAAAATTTCTGTTTGGTATGCAGCATTTGTTTGGAATATGACTAAGTCCAACGAGTCACAACTGCACGCATTAACCTTGTTTATGTTTTTTGAGACAAAGCTGCGACTTTCCATGAGTATCAGTATTTCTATTGCTACTATTCAGTAAACAAACCATGCTACAAATACGAATTTTCAAGCGATTTTGTTCACAGAAATATTTAGTAATTATTTAATTACTGGTATAAACAGAGTTATGGCACCTCTCTTCTTCAGAATTTTTTTTCCTTCAGAGGATGAGAGACCTGCACTTGCCTTTGACATTGATAAGGTTTTAATTATTAAAATCTAATCCAACACAAGGTCACTGTTTTGTTATTTTTTTTTTTTTTTTTTTTTTTTATGTTTCTCTTCTCACTTGAGACAGTCTCAGAACTTGAGCTTTTATTTATTTAAGTTTTCTATGTGCTATATCCATAACTTGAATCTATCCATTATATAATTTAATAAAGAGCAATCTGTAATTGATAAAGAGCTAAAAGTAAAGAAAGAACTATCTGTTCCTTCCCATTTCCATTGGAACGGTGCAATTTTAGCAGGATCTTCATCAAACTTCTGCAGTCAACAGGAAAATGTGTATGTACCAAATAAACAGATTTTGAAAGTTTGCAGTAAAATACAATATAGGAATTTAAGTCCATTTTCACATTTCCCCCAAAGTCACATGAAAAATCAGTAACTGAATTCGTATGTTGGTATGAAAAATCAGTAATTCATTTGTATGTTCGTATTCAGTTGTATGCTGGCACAATTGACAATACACAATTAGGCATAATTAAAAAACTGCTACCTAAAAAAGTAATTTCTGATTCTTAGTTTATGACAATCAATAAAAAATTGGAAATCCAACATACAGCCAAGAAAAAAGAAAAAAATTGGCTTACCACAAATAAATCACAACTAATAAAAATTCTTCATATACAACATTTTTTAAATATTTTTCTACTAAGACAAAACTTGCATATAAAAAAATTGCCAAATGCAGGATTATGACAGATTACATTAAAACAACACAAGATATCTAAGCAGTATCTACTTTCAACACACTTGGTTAAAATTCAAATTCTGAATTTATTTATAGACATAAAACAAACACATAATAAATTCAATACTAATTCTCGAGCTTTTATTAAAATAAAGCACTGAAATACAATAGTGAATTATTTTCATGAATGCAATTCTCATGGCTTCTCAGTTTAAACTTAAGGAAAATTAAGATAGTTTTAAGTAACCTTACTTCTGCACTATTATCATGGAAATATCTCACCTTGAAAACCCTTAGTATTTTCTATTTAATAAGTCTCCCAATTCTTTAACAAAATATCAGTAAATTCATAAGTTTAAAAAGTAAACTGTGGCAAAATGAAGACCATTTCTTAATAAGCAATGAGGGCTATCTGCCTTAGAGAAGGAATGCTTTTGTGGAGAACTTTCTGAAGGGAGCTGGCTCAAATTCCTGTTAGACATGGGTAAAACTCCATGGTAAAGTGCAAGAGCGTACTTTAAATACATTGAACTAATAATTTTGATTCTAAATATTTCTTTTTTTAAGCTCTTTAACCCTTTTGCTGTCCTCTCCTGTCCGCGAAAAATTCTCCCCAGTGGCCCTTTGTTTATCACAGCATGTAATGTTGTTTTCTCTGTACATAAACTTTCCATACATAACTTTCATAGTGGATGAATATAAATGAATATTAAGGAAAATTATAAGGAAATAAAGCATAATGGAAAAGTAATAATATCTCTGCTTATTTATAACAACAGGATTAATTTGATAACATCTGATCCAGGCAGTCCGCTCCTCCCATTTTGTTGTTGTAATCTTTTACAATTATTGATATTTTTATTCTTTTCCGCGTTTCAACATCAATCATAGAGTTATTATGGACTGTACTCATCAACCATATATCCTTCTTATATTTCCAATTCAAAACCTCATTTTTTCTGTTTTCCTGCTGAGTAGATGTTGAAGACCGCTTACTGTCTTATAAAAATGGCGAGAATATTCATAAAACAAGGCGGGAATGGAATTAGAAATAGAATGCCCGATTACTACTGCCCTCTAGGAAGTATTAGAACAAACAAAAATAAAAACTCAAACAAGTAAACATTTAGAAAGCGTTTTAAAGGTTTAAAAGTTTTAATATGTAGAAGAACGCTTGAAACGCGTTACAGCCGCCCTGCAAAAGTTTCACTTGAACGCGCTATACACGTTACAGATGATGAAGAGGTTAATCAAATTTTTTTCATATTTCTAAAATTGGCCTTTGAATTCTTAAATTGGAAAAGTTTGACATAATCAATTTTTTTTCATATTTCTAAAATTGGCCTTTGAATTCTTAAATTGGAAAAATTTGACATAATCAAATTTTTTTCATATTTCTAAAATTGGCCTTTGAATTCTTAAATTGGAAAATTTTGACAAACACATTTTCAAGCATGCTTCATTCATCATTTTGGCATTTAAACTATGTTGAACGTCCAAGTGTCTAAGTATTTTGATATGATCTGCTTAAAACACATTTGACAGGATATGTAGTACCACAAATGGGCAGAGATTTCCCCCCAGAAAAAAATTAATAATTACAAAAGACTAAATTATATGAAAATTGCAGAAGACCTCCCCGATAATTACAGAAGCCAAATATTTCTTCATGGTAAAACTTAAAACATGAGGACTGTTTCTTCAGTACTTTAATGCATGTACAGGGTGTCTCGTAAATGTTGCGACAAACTTCTGGGAGAGGTAGGGCACATCTTAAGAATTGCATTTTAACCGATGCCCAGAAACGTCAGGGTGCTGTACAGGAGAGTGCTAGTCAGGATTGCCTCATCCGAGCGGTGAAATGCTATACGAATAGAGTTTACAGACCTGCACTTAGTGTATGGAATAGCTCAGGGTAATGGACAAGCCGTTCCATGCATTTATCGAGAACGTTTTCCCCAACTGACATCAACCCTACCACAGTTTGTTTGCACGTCTGCAACAAAATCTGTGCAACTACGGGTCATTAAGAAATGGCAGGACAAGTGAAAGCAGGCCACAATGGACTTGCTCAGTCGTTAGGGAAGAATGTGCGTTGGATACGCGTCCATTACCTCTCAATTAAGAATGTCTCATACCAGCGTCAGGAATGTCTTTCCTGACGCTAGTAATGTCTTTCCTGACAAATGACCATCCTGAACGTGTGCATTACACACAGTGGTTTCCGCAAGAAAGTACTCATGATGTTAATTTCCTAGCTTATGTGTTATTTACGGATGAGATCACATTCAATAGAGATGGTGTATTCAATCACCACATCATCATTTGTGGGCTCAAGAAAACCCCCATGGCATGCAGAACAATGCTTCAAAGATAATGTGTGGGCAGGTTTGGTCGGTGACTGCTTAGTCGGGTTGTACATTTTACCATTCAGGTTGAATGCTGTGAATTATCTAATCTTTCTGGACCATGTTCTTCCTGGCTTGCTTTACGATGTTCCAACAAATGTAAGGCACAACACGTGATTCCAACATGATGGGGCACTTGCTCATTTTGGACTGAATGTGAGTAGCCATTTGAACAGATCATTCCCGCATCAATGGACTGGGTATGGTGGAACGGTTCCCTGGACCTCACGCTTACCATATTTATCGAGCCTTGTTTTCTTTTTGTGGGGAGCCATCCAAAGTGTCATGCATAACAATCCTGTTAAGTCTGAATTGGATCTCGTGGCAAGACTTGCCTATGCAGCTACTACAAGCAAAGAAACTCCCGGACCGTCTGTTGTAACATTCAAGCTGTCGTACATCATTTGTATTCATGTCCTATAAATGCTACAAATTACAAATTAATCACTCTCCTGTTTCCTTTCCCATTTTCTACCTCTGCTACTACTTACACCCAACATTTCTGGGCATGGGATCCTATGCAATTCTTAATCCTTATGATGTGCCCCACCTCCCCCAGAAGTTTGTCGCAACACGTACGGGACTTCCTTTATAATGCATTGATTTGGTCAAATAACAGAACATACCACAGATAATAAATTTGTAATTACTGTAGCAGCCCAAAATACATTTGTCCTCAAGGTAATACATATCCTAAAAAAGCAGTAGCTATAGAAAGCAATAAAATAGTCACCCCTCTTAGCCAAACTTCATAAAAATTAATCTAGCCCCATTAGCATGAATTACACATATCATTCATCCATAATTTACATCTCGAATTATATGAATATTTCTATAAAATGATAAATTTAAATCTCCAAATCTCCAGTAAAATATAAAGACAAAAAGAATTTCAGGTCAAGGTGTAATCCAAATTTAAGATTAAATGGGTTACCTTAAATAAAATTTTAGGAATACTTTATAAATTAAAGTAAGAAAAAGGATTTAATAGTACTTTAACAATAATATTTTTAAATGAACTAGAAAACTTGAAAGAATTATAATTTGAAACTGTCAATTATAAAACACCAATTCACACAAAGCCTTAAAAAGGAAAAAAAATTATACCATACAAGTCTGCTGTGCTCATACTTGCAATGCAACACTTTTGGATCATATCAATAATAGCTAAACCACATTCACTTCCATATGCCATCCTAGAAAATAAACTCTTTTGAGAAATCTTACATAATAATTTTTGTTTATAATTCTTATGGTTAAAAAACATGACCTTGTGATTTAAAGAATAAATTAAAAATAAATAAACTGTGACACAATACTTACAATCCAATAGCACTATTTAGGGCCAAAGCAGTAATATGCAAAGGCGTATCTCTGTTAATGACAGGTGCAAGACAAACTATGTCTGCTTGAAATCCTGGATTTTTTTTTAATATGCCAGATTTAACCTTCATTGGCATGTAGCTACATGTCTAGGAAAAAAATTAGAAGCATTATACCAACACATTTATTTAAACCCAAAGAAATTTTTCTAATTCAATGTACTTGCATATTAACTGATCTCTTCCTAAATTAAATATTAATAATTAACATGAAATTAGTGTAAAACACTGTTAGAACAGCATTAAATTATGCTACCAAAAAATTACTGTATAAAATAACATTAATCAATCTCTCTCTCTCACCCACACACATTCATGAACACACAAATATACACATACATCAATACAAGGAATAATTTTTTATACTCATTTGAGACATAATTTTATCTCTTACAGATTTTTATAACAGCCAATACTTGATTATTCAAAGTAAAATGGAAGAAAAAAAATAAAAAAAACCCGGAAAATGAACACAAAATATAAAATTTGGTTTTATATTTTGTGTTTATCGAAAGAATTTAAATCAAAAGGATTAAAAGAGATAAAATAAAACAATGTTTCACATATCTCTTCAATCCTTTCCAAGAAAATATTATAAAAGATGTATTCATTGCATTCTCTTATTAAATATATTGCATATTTTACAGTTTGATTTAGTTCAATGCTCAGTGTGAACTTTCCGGAAAAAAGAAAGGAAAAAACACCTGATTTGCCGAAAAGAGGGAAGGTGGCAGCAGGTCGGAGAGATATGTCTTCGTAAAATGTCCTGCCAGGCAAATAGCTGTTTGCTTTTGACTAACCGTATCTCATGGAGGTAAGAATAACTCCTTCCTACTCCATGCCATATCTGAATTTCTCTCCCTTTTACCCATGTGTTCTTCTCACATGAGATACCCTCCTCCCACTGTAGTTAACGCAGGAAGGCACAGTGGCATCCCTAACCTCAGAGGATTCAGTACCTCTCTCGGAAAAAAGAAAAGAGAGAAAGTGCGGAGCCTCCTTTTCTCTTTCCTCCACCATTTTTCTCTTTTCTGTACAGCCTTTTCTTTTTCTGGTATTTTTTCTCTTTCTCAAAAAGCATGCATGATCACCAGATTTCTTTCTGCCTCTTTTAATTTCATGGTAAATGGGTTGAATGAGAAGACAGCAGTGCGAGGAATACAGAAAGAAAAAGAGGCAAGGACCAGGGCTTAATATCTAAAATCAGAAGTACCCCAGCTCTATGGAAGGCTGTCAGGAAAAAGGAAATAAATAAAATGACTAATAAAATAACTAAAAATAATTAATTAAATTACAATTAAAATTCAACAAAATATAAAGATCTAAACAAAAATTTGATAAATTATTATATTCACGATAAATAGTTAAATAAAAGAAATAAGATATTGGTCCTTGTCTTATTTGAGGCTCTGGCTAGACTTAGTTTCATTCTAAAACTGAGAAATAGCTTAGCCAACCTCCGGCTGAATTAAATCCTCAAATATATGGTATAACGTACTATTTCAAGGAATAAGAGAAACAAAAACTATTCTTTTTCTGGCATGCCACTGGAAAAAAGTAAAATTATTAAAGCGTCACTAATGAGAATAGAGAGAATGCTAGAAACAATATAAGAATATGGAAAGAAATTTTAATGGAGAAGTGTATTTTCGAAATCAAAGACAGAAGAGTCCAACACTTTCTGACCACGATCCGCTCCCTATATAATTCTAAATATCAAGCAGAATGCGATCCGAATCCAATCCGATAACAACTTGAGAACAAACGTAATGTTTACACAAGCGACAATTTTTGTCCCTTGTTGTTTGGTTGCATTGTTCAAGTCTGCAGGAGCTCTGCAGTAAGAGGTCACTAGCGCTGGACGTGCATGAACAAGGTAATTACTTTTGGAACTTTCGGAAACAAAACATTTTACCTGGTCTCATAAATTCATTGCACTACCTGGAGAATAAGTCTCCGGTGCAATACTTAGAGTAGGGCTCCAGTGCAATTTAAGGTCTGGGGAGGACAGAAAGCATGGGGTTCACAAGGTTGCAGCACTGAAAGGGAGAAAAGTTCATCCTTCTTCAGAAATAAGAGGGTATATTTCGGTTGACAGATTTTAATGAAATTTGGTACAAACAAAGGTTGATATAATAAAAAAAAGTATAATACACAACAGTTATGGTACACTCATATGATAGTGTGTAAGTCTTCACCTGTGCAAGAAGATCTAAAACAGAATTTGCAAGATCAAACAAAAAAGAGGCTATTAAGGGACACAGTCTACTGCTACTCTAACAGCCATAGAGCTCTTACAACATGACTCCATACTGGGAACATGGTAATTTATGTGTCACTGTGGCAGCTGGTCTCACTCATGCAGAAACAATGTTTTCAGGTTTGAGATGATGAAAGAAAACTGAACTTGCTCTCACAAGAGCATCCCTAACATGTTCTGAAGATCTAGCTGGCCAGTCTATCTGATTAATAGCCTGACATTTTAGAAAAACACCTACCAAATTAACCCTATGCAAACAAAGATTGTTATCCATAAAAATGAATCAAGAGCCAATTGCACCCTTGAAGAGTTATTCAAATGCCAGCAAATGGAGCGGCCGAATGGGAGTTTAAAAAAAATAAAAGAAAATGCCATACAAAAGATGTTACCTGGTGTTCTCCAGCTGGACAGTAACAGCTCTTCTCTTCCTCATCAGCTTTTTCACTTAAACCATCCATTCTCCTTTTTACGTGCACAGTAAAATTAAATTTTTGTTCCTTTCATATGTTTAGTACTGTGTTTTATCTTTTCTGTCCTAGATTTAATTATTTTCCTTGGTTTTGTGTTATCAGTCTGCACACAGAGTACTGTTGTTAAGTTTCAACAAAGAAGGATCTGTGGCCAAGCAATGAATTAATACATTTTTACATCAATTCCAAAGGGGAAAACATTCTCAATTTACGAACATTTCAAATAAGGAACCACCTTAAGAAATGACTTACATTTTGGAAATGAATTTCACTGTATAAATAATTTACCTGTATTTTCAAGCAGTTTAGTTCAAAGAGTAAGCTCAGCTGCTGTGACCCAAAGCTCTTTTAGAGATTCTGCCAAATTTTGTCAGAATGTTTGCAAATGGTGATCAAAAAGTTCATATTCTATGTTCTTGGATTAGCTATAGAATATTAGCAGTTTTTTCTACTACGTATTTCTAGATTAATAGAATCATATTAATTTTTCTAAGGAAAATTGAGAGTTCAAGTTTGAAAGACCTTCCTTTTTAAGTACCCAAACATCATAAAATTATACAAATACATTTAAGCTTCTGAAAACTAGCATTAGAATATAGCATATAGCTTAAGATTGTTTTGGAGGGGGGGATTCAAAACTTAAAATCATTCATCAGATAATTTAACAGAAACGTCTTCCAATATTAAACTTCTTATTGATTTAAAAAAGATACACCCAAAGGAAACAAATCAGTATCAGTTATAATTTGCAAAATCTGTAACTGTTTTACTCAGGAACTACAGTATCAAATGTACTTTTATACAATCGCTTTTTAGAAATGAATAGCTCTTCTTTGCAAATATATATATATGCAGCGTGTTTCAGCACTTCAGTTGCAAACTTTCAGGAAAGCAAGTACACTTAGATGATTAAAATTCACATAGCAAATGCATTGTTAAAAACACTTTCCTGGTGCGGTACAAATGACAAAAAACTCATGAAAGGATAGACATGAACAGGGTGGAAAAACATGTTTATTATCCTCAGTGCAGTAAAAATGTAGAAAATGTGAAATTTATTCATACATTAACAGCCTTGATGTGCGTTTCTATCTGAATGCAACGTATCCTTAACACTAGATTGGCAGGGGTGGTCTGGTGCACTGGGCAGCAAGACCGCTACACCTCTCTTGCATTCAATACTTTCTCTGTGGTACGTCAAGACACTGTGTATGAAACCCCTGTTAACAGTGCTAAGAAACTTGTTGCATGTATCATGGCAGCTGCTGGGGAAGTCTGGAAGATGCCAGGTATTTTCCAGAACATCAGATCTTTCATGTGCCAGAGACGTGATTCCTGCATAATGGTCTTCTTTGATGACGATGTTGGTTTTCATTTTAATTTCTTTGTTTCTGCTGCTCTCAACCTGTTCATGTCCTTCATTTCTCGTGTTTTGTGTTGTCATTACCGCGCTATAAAAGCGATTCCGGCCATGCAATGCTATGTGATTCCAGGTGTACTTTATCTCTCTGAAAGTTTATAACCAAATTGTTGAAACATCCTCTATATTATAATTTGTTCTAGCTTAATTCTTATTTACATGCAAATGCATGAATAAAGGAAAAATGCAGTAAATAACATTTTGGAAAAACAGTTCCTATTCATCTAGATAAACATGTTATTTCATAAGGGTTTGAAATAAAAAAAAACTTTTGTATTTATCCACAATAGATCTAGAAATGCATAAATTCACTTTATTAATTTTTATATACACAAAATTAGATGCAAGATTTAAAATTTTCTGAGGAAAATATATTAAAAGCACAAACCGTTTTTGTGCAATCTGATGATGAACTAGAGTTTTGATTCTCATTTTTTGTCTGCTGATGGGCATGAGACACATCAATCTCTGGATTCTCTAGATCCTCATCAGTTTCATAAAACACAGGAATCTCAAGAACCTACAGTGAATTAAAGACATAATAACCTAAGTTGCAAACGTATTACAAAATTACACTTCTTTTATAAAATACATTATAAAAGGAAAAGTTGCATAAAAATCTATGTTCAAAGTAAAAATGTCTCATATGTATAAATATTTAAGTAATGTCAGTACATTTTTCTTAAATTACCTCAGAAGTTTATTTTAACAGCTAATGGAAAATTCAAACCTTACTGTAATTTCTGATGAAGATTCATTTTGTTGGTATTTAAATATGATGACATGCGAACTTGCATCTGCAACACACATTGTTCGGGATTCAGGACAAAATGCCACACGCTCTATAGCAAATGGGTCATCCTCCTGATTATCAGAAGACTGTAATTTTGGTTTCTCAAATATTCTAGACACCTTCAACTTGTACAAAATTTGCAATGATACTGTAAAAAAAACAAATACTGAATAAAAAAAGGATATGAAAGAAGTAATTCTAGACTGCATTTAAAGTTGTGTATGTGCTTCAAACTTACATTTTATGCTAAATTGTAAACATGGAGGAAGACAAAATATATTCACTATTCTTATTTCAGAGTTATTCGATACTTGAAAATTAAAAACAGTTATAGAATCAGCTAAAATAAAACTTGCAGAAATAGCAAAAATAAAAACTGGACTAGACATGAGTTTAAAGAAATCACACAATGCTTGCACATAATATTTAGAGTAGCACACCATTTTGTCCAGGAAGTAGAGTAAAGCTGAGTAAGGGCATAACTAACCAGAATTTTAAAAGCTGTCTATGCCTTATGAATCAAAGTTGTTTTGCATATATTTTTATTTTATTTTTATTTAAATTGATCTGATATCATGAACTCAAACAAATCAAATTAACTACTGAAATAAAGGATTCAGAGAGTACTGGTAACAAAGAAGTAAATCAATTAGAGACTGAATGTTTTAAGAAAAAAGGTTTATGATTTTACTTTAAGCATTGAAATAAATAAATGAACAAATAATAAAAAGAATAAAAGAGGGAAAAGAAAATTATAAACTTTTTTAATAAATAAATAAATATTTCTAAAATATTTATATAGAACATACAGATGTACTAAGTTATGTTGTATACTTTTTTGGACTAAATGGCCTAAGATTTGATTCCACACTTTGATACATAAAGTCCCCAATACAACAGTGTTTCTTAAACTCTTCCGTACCAAAGCTCGTTCCAACCTGAGCTATTTTTTTACCCTTTAACAATTTTACTAGCCAATAAAAATGCAATATCATGAAAGCTATATCCAACAGGCTTTAAATATGTAGTAAGTTTAGACATCAACAGGATATGCAAATGATTAGTATTGCACTGCATGTGCAAACCATGTGTGAAAGTAATGTCACTTAGAAGCACTATAAAACAGAGAAAAGAGTACACTTTTTTAAGCACTTGAAATTTTTTTGTGCTGTTCTATTGTGTGTGGTGCTTCAGAATGCTTTGCTGAAAAACAATAGTGGAGCAAGTTCGTGTTCAACACAAAAGGAATTGGTTTATAGAGACTGCAGATTAGCTTTTCAGGAAATTTGTGCTTGTGATGAAAAAAAATTCAAGCCACATTGATGCTAATATGGAATCGGTGGGTGCAAGAGGCCTGTTGCACCTATCCCAATGACGAATCACACAGCAACATCAAGAACCACAACATAAGTCTTTTGCTGAAACACCTGTGTCAACACTAACCATTTGACACAACAGACAAATGGAATTTTTGCAAGGTGTTTATTGCTGAGATTACCAATGAATCTACCAGGGCATACATGGCTGCTATAATGTGCCGAATGCTATGCATAGAAAAACTGATGTCTTTTTAGATCAATCAAGATTCTATCTGCACCACCATGGAGTTATATCCAGTTTTGGATATCCGAGTAGTCTGGTGGGATGTTGATATCTTGGAAAGTCTGGAATCTTGGGTTAATAGATATAATGACCCTTACCGTATGTATCAAGATACTAGTCCTTCACTTAGAAATTATGGTTTGGAGTTGCACTGGATTTTACTCCCACATGCACGTAATATGCATTGCTGACATCAGTGCTACATCTCAGAAATTTGGACTTTGTTGTCACTGTCCTAGTTTCAAGGTGTGCTTGCGATGAAATTCGCACCCAATGTTCAACACTGCTGCCTTGACTCGTACTTAACCTAATATAAAACCCTTCAAACATGTCTGATCGATGATTTTCAAATGAGTGGCCTAGCAAATACAAGCTGGAGTTAAGGAGCAACCCTAAGGAGAATTTTTTTTAGCAGAACAGTAAACACAGAGACCATCTATCAAGTGGTATTCTCATCATAGTTAAGGTAGATCATCACAGTTATTTCACATAAGTAAATAAATAGTTAGATCATCATAGCTATTTCCCACAAGTAAATAAACACACAAGATCGGGAATTAAAAAAAGGATGCACAAAACTTTGAAAGACTTTCAGAGAATGGAAGAATAAAAAGAATATACACAGAATACTTTGAAGTCTAACATACATTAATGACTAAACACTGAGCATTAGCCACACAGAAGATACCCTATAGGCTGATAAAATTTACAAAAAAAAGAATAAAAACGTTTAAAATTACAAAAATGCGTAAGCAATACATCATAATACACCAAACAGTCATACATTGGTGGTTACAATAACGGCAGAATGTAATTATGAAATAAAAACAGAAACAGAATGTAATTATCTATCTCATACATATCTGGAATATTTACATAGTAATTGTGATTTATAAATAACTTAAGAGACAAAAAAATGTATAAAGTAGAAAATTTTTGATAGAAACTTGGAATAACATAACAGTAAAATGGTGGAATTGTATGTTTTCATATAACTGGTCTCACTGATTGCTAACATGTAGATTGAAACATAAGCATACGAAGTTAACATTTTTACATTTTACATTAAAGAAGTTTAGCAACAAAATCTTTACATATAAACTGTCAAAAGCTTTGCAACTCTAGTGAGGTAAAGACTTTAAAAATAAGCAAACATCAGTATTAAAATAACATGAAGGTTATGTATGCAGGAAATATAAAACAGATTTACCTGAAGAAGCATCCCAGAATTTTAAAGAACCATCTGCATGGCTAAATAAAAAGATTTCACATGTAAAAAATCTCACAAAGTTAGATCATAAACATGAAAAATTAACATTAAAAAAGGATGCAATTTAATTATCGGTGCCTCTCTCTTTTCACAGTCAGTCTCTCTCCACACACACACATATATATACATAATTACATTATGTGACAATGAAAATGCAACACCATCAATGCACGTTCCAAAGAATATACAAATTGCAGGGTAGACATATAGCATCAAGTTATGCAAATCATGAGAAATGCACTACATTCTTTGATAGGTGAGACAAGAAATAGCGATTCTGCAGAATCAACAATAGTTGTGCTGCAAAACTGGGCAGAGTAATCATTTTGCAAACGGTTTTTCTATCATAGAGGAACCTTTAGTATAGAGAATGCCAGGGCACTGACAATCGAAGAACTTCGAGCAGACAGACGAGTACACCAAGGGCATGGTGATCGGACTGAAAAGAGCAGGCTGGTTTCTGCACCGAATCACAGAGGATAGGCGCAGTGCTGCCAGAGTGACTGCAGCATGTGTAGAACAATGCATCTGCAGAACAATTCTGTTGACATTTTGTGGCTGGTGCAGAATATTCTTGATGCTCCCACATTGATCAAGATGATTATATGTTGATTGGTAAATGCGCAGAACTTGTTAAAAAGGCTGCCATTGAGCCAACATCACAAGTGCTTCCGTTAGTGTTGAAGTTCAAATAGAGACATGCGGACTTCGGAATGGCATAATGTGGTGCCTTCAGAAGACAAACTGTGGCAAATGGCTAACAGGGAATGGGAATCTAACCATCAGGAGGCAATATGCATGCTCTTTGTGTCTGTACCTAGACATGTTGCTGCCTGTATTGCCGCCAGCAGTGGCCCTACAACTTACAGAGCATACGGTATAGTCTCTCTTTTAATAAGTGTATCATGTTGTAATAATTATTCACTAATTATTTTTTACGGTGTCTCTCCTTTTGCCGATTTTTATCACTTTTTGCACAGGCTTTTATAGTCTTGCATTTTTATTGTCACATAGTTTATATATAGTTGAACAGAATTAATTAAAAAGTTTTCACTACTAATATCTCCTTTTCTATATATTTATTGGGTTGTTCAGAAAGTTATTTCGATTTTTCCCAACAGAGGGCTTAATTGTATTTTTTCACAGAAAACATCACACTTAAGACGCATAATCATTACATATTTCGACAGCTGATACAGCAAGGCTTGTTTGTGAAAAAGTTCGATTGATTCTACGCAGTAGTTTTTGGTTGGTGCCCTCTCAAACATGGCAAGTGAAAAGTAGCATTTTTGGCATATTTTACTTTTTTATTGCCAAATAGGTAAAAATACTGTTCAAGCAAGGAAAAAATTATCCGATGTGTATGGAGAAGATGTACTGACAGAACGCCAGTGCCAAAACTGGTTTGCAAATTTTTGATCCAGTAATTTTGGTCTTAAAGATGCACCACGTTCTGGAAGGTCAGTTGAAGCTGATGGAGAGCTTAAGCACATGAGGAACCCATATGTCGAGGTTTGAGATTAAACCTAAGCATTTCAAATGACCATGAAAGGTCGAATTTGATAAATTTAAACTCTCAGCAATCTCACGAGTTGTTATTAGCCGGCTTGCATAAATTAATGCCTTTATTTTTTCGTCATCAGCTTCAACTGGCCTTCCAGAACTTTATGCATCTTTGAAATTAAAACTGCCGGACTGAAATTTTGCAAACCAGTTTTGGGACTGGCATTCTGTCAATACTTCTTCTCCATACACATCAGATAAATTGTTTTTACTTGAACAGCATTTTACCTTTTCGGCAATAAAAAAGTAAAATATGCCGAAAAAGCTGCTTTTCATTTGCCATATTTGAAAGGGCACCATCCAAAAACTGCATATAGTCAATCAAACGTTTTCACAAACAAGCCTTGCTATATCAGCTCTCAAAATATATACAGTACAAAGTCCGTAATCCGAACTCGTCGGGACTTCGGGGATTCCGGATTAGGGGTTTTTCCAGATTATAGATCATCAACTTAAATCTGGTAAGATGGCATGCAGAAATAATATAATTAAAAATATGAAACCATAATTTATGAAATAAAGAGCAATTATGATCTAAAGGGTATCAAAATTTACAAAAAAAAAAAAAAGCTTCATACTTATTTGTTTACTTTAGTAAACATTTCTATCAGTGTAAGTTGTTTAAGTTGCTTCGTTTTTTGTGCTAATACTTTCTTTTTAATTCTATAAACAGACATAATTTCTTGTTCAGTTACAAAGTTCCACTCTTCAAGTCCTGCAATTGCCGTGTCGAGAATACCAACTAAATTGTCAATCGAAATTTTTTCGTTTTCAATAACGTTCTCTGTTACTTCTTCACTATCGGAAGCACGCATGGGAAATCGCTGTACTCGCTTTACGTGCATGTGTAGCGGACGCAAGCATCAAAGGTTCATGCATAAGTTTGTGGATTTGAGGTCCGGATTATAGATCATTCCAGATAACATACATCTAGATTAGAGACTTTGCACTGTAATGATTATGTATCTTATGTGTGAAGTCGGCTGTGAAAAAATACAATTAAGCCCTCTGTTTGGAAAAAAAGAAATTACTTTGTGAACAACCCACTCTCTCTCTCTCTATATATATATACACACACAACATCTTACCCCGTAATTATGATTTCTGGATAACTTAATGTAGATACACCCCAACTGCCTCCATCAATAGGCCATTCCTGATGAAAACAAATGAATTCAGGATTAGCATAGAAAAATAAACTTCATTATTTCTAATTTTGAAAAAAAAATAATAGTTTGGTTAATAAGTAACTTATATGAAACCACTAGAAATCAGTACGACACGCAAACTTAAATCAATCAATCAGAAAATTACTATTCCTTATCAGCATTTCAAGCCTGTCAACATGAGAAAATATATCTGAATGGTAAGGAAAGCTTTATTCATACAAAACTTAATACACCGGTTTCTGTACTAAGTACAGAACAATCAGAAAAAAGTTATGATAAGGAAAAACTACATGAAAAATATACATGAAATTTGCATAAAATACAACATATATTTTGAGCGTTTAATTGACTGAAAAATACTTCACAAAAATATTTTCACAAAATAAAATTTTCTTCTACAGGGACTTGCCCCAAAACAAATTATGAATGAATGTTCACTCAACAAAGATACGTATAAAAGTTTAGAACATCCCCTCTATACTTCCAAGTAGTGAGGTTTCCATTTTTCACTTCATTATGACCTACATATTCACCTATAAAAATGCCAGCTTAAATAAACGTGTAATCTCCATTGTAAAGGTCTTCTTAAACTCTGATACTAGGATAATAAGCAAGTGCCTAGTCTTCCTCATTCTGAATAATGTCTGACAATATATGCAGCCAATACTTAAACTCATCTTTGAAATGAGACTAGTGAATGGGGAACTCATTTCATATGATTACATATTCAATGCATTCACTCCTTCCTGCAACAAGACGTAAGGCAGCATAAATTACTAGAAAAGAGTCTTCTGCACGAAGATATATTATCATAAGAAATACCTAAAATTTACCCATTTGGAAAAAGCTGAATCACTGTCACACTTACAAAATGATTGTTTGCAGATTTTTATTTATGAGAGGTACTTATATACAGTACAAAGTCCGTAATCCGGACTCGTCGGGACTTGGGCGATTCCGGAATAAGGGTTTTGCTGGATTACAGATCATCAATTTAAATCTGGTAAGATGGCATGCAGAAATTATACAATTAAAAATATAAAACTGTAATTTATGAAATAAAGAGCAATTATGATCTAAAGGGTATCAAAATTTATATAAAAAAAAAGCTTAATATTTATTTGTTTACTTTATTAAATATTTCTTTCAATGTAAGTTGTTTAAGTAGCTTCATTTTTTGTGCTAAACATGCATAACATCAAACGGGCACGCGTAAACGCATTACGTGCATGCGTAAAGCATACAAAAAAAAAAAAAAAAAAAAAACGCTTGTGGCTTTGAGATCCGGAGTGATCAGGATCACTCTGGATATTGGACGTCCATATTACAGACTTTGTACTGTATAAAGGTTTCTCAACAAGTTTCAAGTCTAGCATTCTTGCACAAGATAAATATCAAAATTACCTTTTCATTTTTCTGTATAGTTTTTCTTAAACTTTACCGCACTTAACATAGCAATCAGTTTACATTTGGTTATTATTAAAAAGAAAAAAAAATATTAGTCTTCAAATTCATTCCTGAATGTCATTATTCATATCATCATTGTAACATAAACTATTCAAATGAAGCTTCAGTTTTGGAAACACTCAAGACCAGATCTGGTGAAGATGGTGGCTGCAGAAGAAACTGAAATCTGAAATGTGCAATTACAGTGTCATAAATCACCCAGTGAGCTATATTTCTGTCATGATAAAGTGACTTTTCTGATGATGCTGCCATTGCATTTCCCCTTTGTAGCTTGTTGGAGTTGAGTCAACATGTTAGCATAATAAATATAAAGCTGTTATGCCATTGTGAAACATGTAATCAATCAGTAGAAGTCTCTCATCTCAAAATATGGTGCTTAAAATTTTCCTGGCATATTTCTGGAATCTTAATATGTAGAGTCAGGAGGATCCACTACACTTTTACATCATGCTTTCATTTTATTCTGTGTCATAATGGTAACATATATCTTCTGTCACTAACTATGAATAAAACTTTTATCTGCATTAAGTGTTACACAGGATCACATGATTGATTTGACTGACGGAGTTTAGACTTGTAACATTATTTTTAAGACGAAGAGAGATGAAGTCGCCAAATTAAACAAAAAATAAAAGAGGTTATAGCCAATTAAATTTAAAAGTTTGCTTTCATATTCTATATCTTACATATGTATATATATATATACATATGTAAGAAAGAGTATTAATAGTATGCATCAATTTATTTAAGATTTTATGTAGCAAAATAATACACTGGTTCCCAAAAGTTAAAAAGGTAATGCAAATTCCAGAACAGCAAATAATCTCTGGATTTTACCAGGTGAAATTTACCATTGTCACTGTTAGGGGTATAAAAATATTTAATGATGGCTCATTTGTTCCTTGGAAAATGCATAAATTAGGCACAGAGTTCAAATACTTCATTTGCAGCATTGAAATTGTTTTTGAAATGTACTGCATCTTAGTTTAGAGGACACCTGTAGTAAGATTGGTTCGGTTTCGTTTATTTGATTAAGGCACATCACTTGAGAGCTATTTGCTTAAGATGAGGGATGCCACCATGGAGGACTTTCAAAGGGTAACTAGCTTATATACATATGCTCATGGAGAAAACTACAAAAACACCAAAGCAGCCAGCTTGTTCGTGGGACTCAAACCCTGGACCAAAATACCAGTGTTTAGTGACTTTACTGCTCAGTTACTAGTGAGCCTAACTGTAATAAGTACAGGACAGATTCTTAAGGAAAAAAAGCCCACAGCTTCTCTTAGACACCTTATATCTGCATTTTAATTAATTCAGAAATTTATATTCAAGAAATTAAATGTAGCAGCAGTACGAGTAATTTAATGACATAGTTGAATACAGAGATTGCGAGCTTATTGAAGGATATTATTGGACTTAATTTATATCATACCAAGTCTGACAATCAAGCAACAGAATATCACCAACATGCAGTTCACGTAAAAAAACGCAAGACATAGAAGAATATGTTACACCTAACATATATGTACAACAAATCATATAAAATACATACAGTTACTTCAATTATCAAGTATACAGCAGATCTATAATTACAGTATTTGAATAGTCATGTTCAAAATTTAGTAAATGAGTTTCAAAAAGAATGTCCAGAAATCAATATCTTACAGATGACAGTTAAAAAAAATTATAAAATTATAGACTCTGATTATGTATGTTTCAGTTGAAGAAAATATTACCTTCTCTGAAAAACACTGATTTCTTTTCCCTTTTGAGCCAGTAGAATATAAAGCAGGTATCAGATCATTTGGGCAATCAGCAAAGTATGAGCAACTTGTTACAGGAGATTCATGTAAATCCATTGGATATGGATTTTGATAACAAGGATAGCTAAAAATACACATATCTTTATACTACAAATTTTTCTAAGTATAATATATATGTTCACTTTCATTTCATTAAAAACCTTAATAACACCAGTAATAAACTATTTCATTTCTACGTAGGACAATTGAAAATTGCAAGTAATATTACATGTAAAGTGTAAATATAGGAATATTGATTATATGAAAAAAATACTTACCCAGAACTACTAAGATCTATCACTACTAAATCATTATATAACAAAACAACAATAGCATATGGATCTTGATAATCTGAAAAAGAAAAAAACATAAATAAATATAGGAATTCCTAAAGAGAAAAAAATTTTTTAAATAAATTACCTCTCCTATTCTAGTTGAACACTATTATGCAATAAATATTGACTAATAACCAAAGAATTTTAAGAATGATTATTAGAAGTTAAATAACAATTAACACTCATTGATTTTAAATTATTGTATAAAAGAATATACAGTCAATATCAAAAATATTCACATACTCAGAAACATTTTAATCTTTTCTATTATCAAGTAAGGCATTAAATATGTTTAATTATTATTTTTATTAATATTAGTTAATAATTATATTTTTTTAATTTTATTAATTATAAGATTTTTTAGTTTTAAGAAACTGAAATGACAGACTCCACAGTTTATTTTTTGCATAAAATATGCAAAGTTATATTCATCTGTACTAAAGTCGAGTTTGGACAGTATTCATACACCCTCTGTTGTGTAACTTAAAATGGCATGTTATTGCACTTTACTATTACAATTAACTATTTTGAAAACGTTTATATGTAATTTTCAATGCAATTTGATTTATTTTATGGCTCTAAGGAAAACAACAAAAAGAAAGAAAATTAGTTATTAATTTCGTGAAAGCTATAGTGAAAAACATGAAAAATTTTAGTTAAAAGCTTTGCTATAATTCAGAGTATAATAAAAAATCTGAAAGGTTTCAGATTTTAAATTACGTCCAAAGGGGCTTTTTTTAACGTTTTGTGTGTTACCTTAATTTATTAAATATCATGTCCTTTGCACTTAAACCACAAAATTCAGTTCAATAGCAATGTCGCAAAATAATCTTAAAATGAGCACATCTTTAGAACTTCCGATACGCAGTCTCACGGGCTGGAGATAAAAATGTTCCTGTACAACATTGCCATTGCTCGCTTTGAAATCCTTGAGTTTGTTAATCAAAAATTCGTTAAAGTTTTACAAAATATGAAATTGATAATAAAACAAATTCCAAATTTCAAATTTGGGCTTCCACATGCCTATATACGTAGGAGGATTACGTCATTCAAAATTCGATGGCTCTATGTACTGTTGTTTTATCACAATGCAAGAAATATGCATACATTTATGCAGATTTTTCATTATTTATTTTTCTTCAAATATAATGCAGGACTCTTAACATTTGGTGGCAACAGTTTGAAAAATGAAACGGACATTTATAGTGATTCAACGCAAAACTGCAAATCGAAAACAATAGTCCTTCAGGGACAAAGCCCCTTTAGACTAAAAATGTATGAAGTATGTAGAACTTTTGGAAATGAACCTCATAGTGAACATCTTCAGAAACAAACACTGAGATGAAATGACTTTTTTAAGAATAAATAAATAAAACAAAATCCTCATATTTCAGCCTGAAATGTGAGAGAACAAAAATTGTGTATTGCAGTTTCTAGCTCAACAATTAGAATGAACACAAGTTTCTTTGGTGATCTGCTCAGGAAAAGTTCTATGAGTTTGCTCTCAATGCAAAGAAAAGATAATCTTCTGCAAACAAATATCAACCTCTAGAATTTCGGAATAAGGTTATATTAGGAATGATTCTAAATTAAAAACTTTTGCACCTAACGGAAATTTTAAAATATAATGTAAGCAGGGAGAATTTCTAATAAGATGCGACTGAAAAAAGATTTACAAAAAGAATGGGAAAAAAATTAATGCTCAGAAGATTAACAGCAGTCATAAGAACTAAAGGCTATCAGACCAATATTAATTAACTTAAAAATCAATAAATTATGTATTTAACTATTTTGAACATAGTCTATGAATATTTTTGCTCTCTTCAATTAAAACCAAGGTGCTTATTTGTTTTTCTGCTCATATCAAAATAAAAAGAACTTATTACTTTACTTTTTCCTTCACTACGTAATACTTCCAGTATATGAAAATAATATTAAATACTTATTACATCATTCCGCTTGCAAATAAAGATTTTTCAACTAGAATATGAATGCTTTTGATGCTGACTGCAGGTCAGTAGAAATTCACACAAGAAATATGCATAAATACACAGAAGGAAATGCCACCAAGCCTGGTGGAGATGGCTTTTTGTGCTAGTCAGACCTCCAAGTCAATCTGCATTAGGAAGGTCATAGAATGGTCCCAAAAATATGAAATGAGAGTTTCTTTACTATTGGCCTCCCAAAAAAGAAGTTAAAAAAATTACTAGCAGCAGTTCATCTATTTCATAATGTATGGGAAGTCAGGGACTATATGTTACAGTCAAACTACCAAATATCAAGACATAGCTCACAGAAGGAACATCCCATTGAGTGAGAGTTCTTTTAACAGAAAAGGAGGACCTACAACATATTAACTAAGTTATTTCAGTGATTTGATTGGTTTTATGTTATGCACAGAAAAGAAATAATTAAATCCTCATTAACGGATGCTAAATTTGTAAAAGGAAAAAAATTCTGTCATACTTTTTAATTCTTTAACAAACAAAAAATAAAATATTAAGTTGAGCCCATTTTTCTAGTTTTATAATAGTTTATCCTTTTTAATTTGGATCAGAAAGCTAAAAAATCACATAGGAAAATACAGAGACTACAACTACAGAGACTTTTCTTGCAACTAACTTTTCAGAAACAACTCACTTATGAAAACCCACACAATTTAGAATTGCACAGTTCCCTCTAGCACACTTTGCAATACAACTTACTATTTTAAGTATATTTTTAAGTTCTTGTTATCTAAGGTTCAGTCCGAAATATACAGTAAAGAAAATGCTGCTTTAACAAAATACTTTATTATTCAAATAAAGAGAACTAATCACTATTTAGAACACATGAATGTGAATAACATGCATAGTCAATACAGATCTCACAAGCAATATGTCAAAACTGCAAATTAGTCTGGATAAATGTTAAAAGGCATCTATCATAAAAATGAACATAAATTACACAAAATGCATTTCAAAATTATCAATAACTACAAAGGAATGATATGAAATAATGGTGAAATTCTTATAATAAGCACAAAATTAGAATGCATATGTACGGATACAAACACCTGATACTCGCAGATGAGACACAAAATCCAGCTGATTTTGAGAACTCACCGCTTGGCCATGGTGTTTCACACAATGTAATAAAATCAATAATACTGTGTTCCATCTCCAACACTGTAGTTGTTTTTCCATGTATTACAGTGACACAAGGATTTTGGCTTCCCTTGTCAAATGACATCCCACCAGAAAATGTAATGAATGAATCACTAAATAAAAATAATGCAAGAAAGAAGACATCATGATCATCAAAAAATCTACACTGACAATAGAAAGATTATATAACTTTAGAGAGATTAATACTTGAAAACTATAAACAAGCATAAAATATGCACACTGGTAGAACTGGACATCATTCAAAAGTTTATAGTATCATTAAAATTTAAAATCATACAAATTTGTGCTCCATTTATTGAATAAAATATTTAATGCAACAGCTATAACATACTCATTTACCTTTATTGCAAAGAAATATTCTACCAAGAAAATATACCTCACTTCTATACTTTAAAATGCAAATTGACAACTTTCCATTATCATCACATTTATTAATAACCTCATAATATTATATATATAGAAGGATAATTAAGCATTCTTTAGTCCAACAACATAGCAATCACATTCTCTGTAAAATGGAGTACAAGAACAAAAATGGTATTCAGTAGGATTTTACTTTAACTTTGGTAACATCGGTAGAGGTATGTTCTGATCTGTTCCTCTGAAACATTTGAAATGCCTGTGCAGACACATTTTTGCAGGGGGGCCTAAGAGCGATGCGTAGTGAAGGGAGAAAATTATGGCACATGCGCATGACGTCATGTGGGTGACAGTGGTTAGTTCTTGGCGTTTGTTTACATTCGTTGCATTAACAGTCTAATTTGACTTGTGTTGTTAATTTGCTATTATACTTAGTCGGAAGTGGCAAATTGTGCTATAGCGTTGTGTCAGAATTATACACGCCAATACTTTTTTTGGCGGAAAACACTCTTGCAACCAGATAAAATAACTATTTTTTAATGAATTTATTACATAACGTGATGTAATTTTACAATTTTATTTTACTGCTATTTTACATTTAAAATTGAAAAATTCTCATTTTAAATCATTTTTTATCATAACCTTTCATTTGTGAAGAGACTTACATCATAGTGAGATATTTAAACTCAGTGACATGTTTACCAATACTGAGTACCTGAATGATTAGTTCATAAATTCACTTATCCAACTTCATTCACATGTTTTAGTTACTTTCTTTACATCCCAAACGTGTAATTCTATGTATTGAAGCAATGTCTGGGTTAAGCAATGTGAACTAAGTAAACTGATACATGCTTCACCGTGAGAAAAGAACAATTTCTCGACCACACTATTATGCAAACTTCGAATGAGTGAGTGACATATTTCCTTCAGTGTCCCCTTAACTTATATGTCTGATGTAATTTAATTGATATGACTAAGTGAACTGACACATGCTTGACCCTGACGGAAAAAAAATCTGTGTATTGTGCTGGAATATAAATAGCGAAAGATTAAGTAATATATTCTCTTCAGTGTTATTTAACTGCTGCATATGTTTTAATTTTGATTCCATATAATTTGTTTTTAATTAGAAGAGAAAAACAAATAATTAAATACTGAAGACTATTTTGAGTTAACTAAAGAGTTTTAAGAACAACTTGATATAAATACATAGTAATTAAAAATATTTAATTTCATACAGGCTGAATTGAAATTAAGATGTAGGTGCAAGTTATTATTATTATATATATGGCATTTATGTGAGAAAGTATTTTACTTATCCATTTTTAATATATGGAGGGAAGAAGATAGGGCATAAAATCGAAGATTTTCTTAAGCAATAAATCGCCAATAAATGTTACATAGAATCTTAGGAGTGTAATATTAAAAGTGTGATAATACTGAAAATAGACTTCTGCTGAATCTGAAGTGACTTATATAGTAATGACTTTAGAATTGATAATATATTAAAAGTATAGGATGTGATATTAAGAAATTTGTAGAATTTTCGGGTAATTAATAGAATTTGTTTATTTAAATCTTTTATATATTTTTTGCTTGAGTATGTAATTTAACTGAAATCATGATCATATTTCTATGGAATGTCAAGTTCATTTGTATAAAAAAAATGCATGAGCAATGAAAATAAATAAAAAAACTTTTTTATATTTTTACATGGTTTAGCAGTATGCCTTCATGGTTCTATTCAACAAGATTTATTAACGCGACAATACAACACAAAATATTGAAAATACCTTGTTTACAATATTATTTCCCTTAATAATTAAATATCGTTTTCATTTTAATGCTTTCTATAAGAAAAGGAGTAATGTTTACAATTATTTTCAGCATTGTACAAATTGTGCATAAATAAACATTGCTTTACAAAAAGCTTAAGGAAAGTATAACCGGTATGTTATATAACTACACATATAAATGATCATTTAGTTGCATTTTTTTTTTTTTTTCCATTACCAAAATCATGTAGCAGACGCGGCGACCCACGTGCCTTGTCACCCGGGTGACGTCACTATCAGCAACCAATGGCATGCTTTTTCCGTTCTTGGCCTAACCTTTAATATTGAAAAACCTTGACATTTTTGTTAGAATGGATTTCCTTCCCCCATGCTAACCATAATGCTACAGCATTAAAAATAATCTACTTAAATGATTATTTCTTTCTTGGGGATCTTTCTGTGGTTCCACCCACTCTGTTCAGATTCCTCTTAGAACAGGATTGCAACTGCAAGCATCAATAACTAAACATTGATGCTAAACAAAGGATAGGGAAGGTGAATTCAAATAAAAGAGCTACTTTTAGTGGCTTCAAATGAATGATTGGCATGTCCAGGGGGCAATGCAGAAACATAATTGAGGACAGCACTAAGATAGAAAATGGACGCAGGTGTTTGTGCAACCTGCTGATGTCCGAATGCACATGATTTCAGGCAACATCTCTTGGAAAGATTTAATCTTTACACATAACATATGCTTTTCATTAAAGACTAAATAATATGCATAAAATTTCTGTCAACATGGAATCTTTACACAGCAAAATGAAATGCCAGTTAAAAATTAACACATATATAAAGATAAGTCATTCCTTTCTTTACAGTAACTGGCTAGACTTAATATCAGTTTTAATGGAGTTAAGATTAGAAGACATGCCCACTCTGGCCACAATTTCCCTAGGTTGTTCTGTTTGTTCAATGTAAAGTGAGTTTTTCTTGTTTCAACACATGTTCTTTTGTGTAAATCAAGTTTAAATTACTGCTAATTAAGAAACACTTCATGTTAGTGAAACATCTTAAGTGTACGTAGCCACTGACTTTAAAAAGTTGGCACTTCAGATAACTGTGTTGCTAAATTTTAGATAGTTAAACTGCACTCTCTTTAAATGATTATCTCTGCATCAGGTGTAATGCAACCTGTTTGCAGTTAAGCTGCATTTTATAGGCAATATCTTTCTAGATGTGGTTAAAAGTTCAAGAACAATAGTCTATCCATTTTAGAAAGTTTTAACTTTATTTTGCAAACTAAATATACACGCAAACTATGCAACCAGAAATTTGAAAAAGAAACCAAAGAGGTGACACATAACAGGAAGTAGAAATCACAATACTTAACAGAAAAAAGGAAATAAGATTTTAAAAATTCGTGTATTAAATCTATGCAACACGAATTTTTTTTCTACAGGCAGCACAGAAAAATGTTTGCTCTTTACCCAGAGAAAACAGAGGAATACTGGATTAGTTAGTCATAGAAAAGACCCTAAGGCTATTTGATAAAGGGAAGGGATTGTTTATGAGGCTCTCAGACACATATTTTTTTGACTCGAATCAAACTGGGATGGCTTGAGGTAAAAGTCAAATTGTCACAAATGGTGCCTAAGGTCTCTGATCAACAACAGATTGAACCCATTCTCCCACTCATATTTCATGCAGGTCATATGCCATGAGCTAAATATTGCAGGGAAAATATTACAGCATACATAAAAAATGAATACACTCAGCTATATTGCTTAAATGCATTAAAAATTAGTCTTAACTTTTTTTAATATGTCAGATTAAAATAATTAAAGATAAGAATGCTACCTTCCACGAGCAGTTTTCCATTCAACCTTTGTTATTGCATGACACATTTCTGGATTACCATCTTTAGTTGTTTTAGCTAGAAAAAATTTGAAACATTTTTAATATGAAGATAATTGTTCAACATACAAGAAACAATGATGTTGCTAATTTTTCATTCTTCAGTTCAAGATTTTTAATTTGGATTGCTACATAAGAATACTTTTCCTAAAAAGAAACTTTAAAACAATGAATCAGAGATAACAATGTATTTTATATCACTATGAAAAATAAAGGCCTGATTAGATTCCAATGAAAAGTCAGTAACATAAAAAACATAAGCATTATTCTTCCAAAAGGAACCTGCATATTAAATCCATTAGTGTATATCTCTTCATTAGAAAATGTACAGGAGAGTGAATAATAAAACTGAAACATATGCATCTAGAGTGTAATACTACATTAATATGGTGTAGGCCCTCTTTTAGAGGCTGATGCTATAGAGATACTACATTGAAACAAGCAATAAAAGTCTTGCCCAATCATTAAGTGTATATTTAGCCTTGCAAAAAAGTGGGTAATGTGCTTCCACTTACATTCCCTAGCAAACCCCCCAGATAAGCTCCACTATGTCTAGATCAGGAGATTGTGCAGGATGTGCAAAAGATAGTTAACCTCATTTTCATGTTCATGTTCAGTAGTGTGAAATGGTGCACACTTATCCTGATATACATCACATTCTCCAGGATAAAATGTTTGAACATCTGAGTACACACAGATGTGATATTAAAAATCATCAGTATTCCCAAAGACCATTAAAGACTGCAGCCATATGATCATGAGATAGCTCAATTCTTGTGTTTCTCAAGGAGATCTCTATACTGAAGCTTTCCCAGAAGTTGAAAATACAGTAAAGGTGAACTTATCATTAAACAATACACAATTGTGCACTGTCCCAAATTTTGCATTCCTGTCACTACTGAACCAGCATTTAGCATATGCACTGGTCATGAATGACTGCTACAATGCAAGTCATGAATGTAAACACTAAGCTGGCAATTTTGGTACAATGTGAATCCAGAAAGCTTTTAATTTCAGTCACAGTTTGTAGTCATTGCTTTATATTTTTGGCTACAATTCTTTTTAATATTCTACTCCAATTTGATGAAATTCTTTGCTTTTCTAAGCATACACAGAAGCCTGGACACCATGACCTTTAAAACATCATAAAGATCTGTTCTGTTGGCAATAAATACATTAATCAGAGAAGCACAAAACATTTGCCCTCTTTTGAGCTCTGATATATCCTCAAATAATTCTCTACATTTCTCAATGATGTCTGAATTCAGCACCTGAAATACTGTGAAAAACTCAAACTTTACACTGCCACTAACGATAATTGAAATCATTCAGGTTTCCCAACTGGAAGTGTATATGTTGGTTGGAAACTAAAAGTGTTATGCTCATGAGATGCTATAACTTCATTGTCCAATGTCTGTAGCAAAACTAATGACTATAGTTTAAAATGTAATTATTTAACTGCTCGGCAGTTTTTTTCACAAAAATTCATATACCTGCACGGAAACATATGTCTATATTTTATATACAACCGTATGGCATACAGTGGTGGCCAAAATTGTGAACACTTTTGGAAATTTTTATG